CCCCCCTCTCTCCCCCTCCCCCCTCACGGTGGTACGTGCAGCCCACGTGGGCCTTCTGGCGCATTCACTCTATGGATAAAATCGGTGCAAACAAGTGCCCCAACTTTTGAAGTTGGACCCGGACGCATGCAGGCGTGCGGCAGCGTGCAGAAGGCGCCACGGCGATCTGGTCAAAGACGATGGTGTGCGAAACCACCAATAAGTAGTATCCGGGGAGGGGAAGGGGGGACACTTTGCGGCGTCGTCTAGAAAGTACGTCCGTTTACTCAGATTTGGTCGGCAAATCACAGGAGCTCGGCGCCTGCGAGACTGGGAGTAGGCCACCCCGCAGTACACGAGTGCATTGCAGGCGAGATACTGCCTACCTACCAGGCGCTATGAGTGCTTGCAGATCTTAAACATGGCAGATTCGTAACGACGAATGACGGACATACTTCCTAGATGAACCCTTGCGGGTGGGGAGAAAAGACGGTCGCAGAATCGCATTTCTTCCTTGGTGCTGTGCTGGACAGCGGGTGACTTTGACTGGCTGTGGCGTTGGTGGGTGGAGTGGGGGATGCAGGGGTACTGCTCGCTCATCGTCCAGCCACACTGCCCGGGACCCCAACCCTGGGAGAAGGGAAAGGGGTGGGGGTTTAGCGCGCAGTCAAGCGGGTCAGGCCCGAATAAAAGCACCGGGAAGATCGCAGTCCGGCACATTCTGGAAAATCATCTCCGTCATTCAGCACTCCCAGCAGCAACATGAACTCCCTAGTAGGTTTACTTTACATACTTCACCTCACCCGTGTCTGTTCAACGTCTGCAACAGGTCATCTTTTATGTGGTGTGAGTAACTCCACTTCCCTGTCTCCATCGTCTTGCAGGTGTTCGTAGCCGTGTGCGTCCTGGCGACGGTGTCCGCCCAGCAGCAGCGCTACCCGCAGATCCTCAAGCTGAGCAACGACGTGGGCGCGGACGGCCAGTTCCAGTACGCGTACCAGACGGAGGACGGCATCAGCGCCGAGGCCCGCGGCTCGCTCGTCGGCGGCAGCGCTCGCAGCAGCCAGGACTCCGACGGCCCCGCCACCGCCGTGACCGGCCAGTACTCGTACACGGGCCCCGACGGCCAGGTGTACACCGTCTCGTACGTGGCCGACGAGAACGGCTACCGGGCGTCCGGCGCCCACCTGCCCCAGCCCCACCCCATCCCCGAGGCCATCCAGAAGTCCCTGCAGGTCACCTCCCAGTCCAGCTTCCAGGCCCAGCCCCAGACCTCCAACTTCCAGCGTTCACAGACCTTCACCTCCTTCCAGCAGCCCCAGTCCTTCCAGGCTCGCCGCTTTTAGACCAACATACCATGTGATCATGTACAAAAGTTTTCAACACAAACCTCTTAAACCGTATTGGATGTTTTCTTTGGTCCTTTCAATCATTCGCGCGAGCCACTATAGTCCCGATTCCTCTATTGTGAACAAGGTCAGGGAGAAGGTGGCGTTGAGTCATCGAGACGCTACTGGAGCCGAAGACACTAGCATTGGCTGCACATCTGACCGCAGGAACCAGTTTGGTCCTGCGAGCAAAGGTCACTATACCTACAGCCCACCAGGATTATGTGTATTATAATGCACAATACACAGGGTGTTCCATAGACCCCTTTCTTTTTTTCTTTTTTTGCTTATACTGGGTGTCCAGACGAAGACATGCCGGTACGTTGGGTTGCCTATGCACTGGCTGCAGGGGCTGCAGGCGCGGGCGGGTGGTGGGGGAGTAGTAGTGGGGGAGGTTGGGTTGATGTAGGTTGATGCAGCAAGCGCGGAAAATGACTGCAGCAAGTCATCGGCGCTTCCCTACCCTGTGCCCATCCCGGGGTTCGACCGTGGAGTCCTGAACCAGCGAAACGCCCTTGGGGTCATGATGGAGGTCCTGGAGATTGGGCTGATCCGCGGGCGGGGGCACCGCGTCCGGTCCGCGTATAAACATTCCCTGCGCGATTCAGCGCCCTATGGCAAATTCAGCGGTACGCGACGAGCCCGGCGCCCCCGGCCCGCCTGGTTGGCTGGCTAGGCCGCCGCTTGCTTCTCGCTTACCTTCACTTACTCTTACTGCTAAAAACAATGGCTTAGAGTCATAAACTAAGTACTATCATTGTACATTTTGCACTAAAATACCAAAAACTTGTAACTAATAGATTCTTAAAATTATAAGAAAATTTAAAGTTGCTCATCAGCAGACTTTTCTTTCTCATTGTTAAGGAAAGACTATACTGACAATCCTAATTGTTATAGTAGTTACTTTCTGGATT